GACAGACAGACAGACAGACGGACAGACAGACAGACAGACAGACAGACAGACAGAGAGACAGACAGACAGACAGACAGACAAACAGACAGACAGACAGATAGACATACGGACAGGCAGACAGGGAGAGAGGCAGACAGACAGACAGAGAGAAGGACAGACAGACAGACAGACAGGCGGACATACAGACAGACAGACAGACAGACAGGCAGACAGACAGACAGACAGACAGACAGACAGACAGACAGATAGATTCGCCTTCCTCAGAGCCTGAAAGCCGAAAAACGAATGAAGGTAAGCCATGTGGCACCCTTGTATTGATCGAGTCGAAAGGTCTACTAGTTTGAGGACTATTTTGAGCATTGTCTAGATTTACGTGAGGACCAATCTCAATTCGTTTTTCGGCTTTCAGGCTCTGAATGAAGGCGAAGAGGCCGAAACGTAAGTTGGATAAAGTTGCAAATCCCGGAAAGGCTTTAAATAGCACAAAAACAAGTGTAGCCAAGTGCTGCCGATATTAAGAGGGAGTCCAACATAATTCTGAGATTCAGTCATCTATCCTGGAGCGGGAAAGTGGTAGGAGGTGGTGGTAAGTAAAGGATTTCAATGATGTCTGAGTGGATTTTGATCTATTTGTTAGCCCATCTCTCGCCACTGCTTCTCTGACTGTGGTAGTCACTGACAAAATACCTAATACACAGACCTTTCATATATCAAATCAATCCTTATCACAATGACCTTCACAAAACGTACGATACGTACTCTCACAATGCGTTGCTGTTGACCCTCCCGATTCAAAACTTCATCGTCATATCTTACTTGTTGTAATTACTACCAACATCTTATGAGAAGGAATGGCCGGATGTTATTCACACTCAAAGATTACATATTTGTAAAGTGAACCAGCAAGGGTTGATGACAAAAATGACTTGACCTTTTTAGGTTTTTTCACTACAGATCAGATCAATAAATGGTTGCCGAATCAGTTCCTGCTAACTACTGTAATCGTCGATTTGTGAACAATGTCGGAGGCCGCCTAGTTGACCATGGTCCATAAAGGAGATGGGTTCGGGTGCTGAGGCTACAGGCAACCGGTGAGTGATGGAGGGTGACACAGTTGGTCCCAAGACGCACCGTTTTGACAAGACTTATAGCTCGAGGGAATCGTTGTTAATTGGAAAAACGGAGGAAAGCAATATAGTGGAGCCAGAGAACGAGATAGAGCTGGAGGGTTTCGAAAAGAGTTGTGGTTATAGAAATCAATATGAAATAGGAGCAAGAAAATCGTGAAGGAATGCCTTGCAAAGGAACTGCTGAATATAGGAAGCGAAGAGGTTGAAGGCCGATATCCGGATAAATCAAGTGATATTATTCATAGCTGATCCATATGGTTGCTTCTTTCGGGAACGGGAACAAAACACTCGAAAAGTTTATGAGCTTGCCAAAAAGGGAGAGACATAAACAGGTTTTATAATATCCAACAAACATTGTCTTAATGCTGAGAGGTTGTTACAGATTAATATGAATGTTCTTCAACGGTTTCAATACCATTGTCAAATCGGTTTTTTTCAATTCTAAAGAAATTTTAGAAATTTCTCGATTAGATTCGAAGTAGTATAAAGATTGGACTGAGGCTAGGGGACTTCGAGAGCGAAAGACCGGTAAAGTGACCAACACCGTTGATCAAATCGATCTGACTCGTACTGCCAATGCTCTAGGCTTGAATAACATCGTGGGCGCGTTCATTATGGAACTTTCAAGCGGTTAAATTTTGGTTCCCAATAAGAAGCCGATGATTCTGAGAAAGCGGCTGTAATTTCTAACATCAAGATGTAGTAACCACAAATCAATTGAGTCTGATTCCTGTACAGCTTTTTAATATGAAAAACTGTTATTTGATTGATATTGTTCTCAGTTGAAAACCTGCTTCACATTGTCCTCTTTACGAACCACTATGAACAGAGAACAATCTCTTCCCCAAATGAAATTTCTGTTCTGACTTCGAGAGCTATTTCAAAACAAATATCGCTTACCAATGCGATTTGCACTTAAGTCGAAGGTCAGCAGAACCTTTGATCAATCTTTAAAAATACGACAAGAATAGTGCAAAGTAATTATTATCTGGTGTCCGCAACCTATGCACAGCCACCAAAAGTGATGAAAAATAAGTAGTTCAAATCACAAATTTTTCTGAAAAAGCAAAACGAAAAATTAGTCCGTCTCACTATCGGAAAAAAAGGAAAAGTGGAAGTTATTGATAGTGCGTAGTTTGAGAAGGCAAAGATGTGAGGGGATCAAAGTGGAGAACATCAGGAGGGGTCACTCTAGACTGCTCGCACAAACAGTTGTCTCTGACCCAATGACCCACGAAGCCAGCTCGTTTACGAACACTCCCCACAGCTATAAACTATCAGATGCAAGACGCGGATCCAGGATGGATTGTCTTTACACTGCTTTGCATAGTCATAAAGCCACCCATGAATTTCACCAGAACTCATGTTCCAGGGAATTTCAGGAAAAGGCTTAATATGGGAATTGTGCCCTACTCGGACTGTATCTTGTATTGCTTCGGAAAAGGTCACTTTGCAGAATGATAAAACTACTGACTGAATCATTTTTTTTAGCAGTCAAATGGCGACAAAGAGAGGACGATGCATGATTAGTAACTAAATGAGCCCCCATTTGTTCGAACTCAGAAACACGATTGTCTAGGTGAAGTAAGGGCTATCGATGAGTTCCTGATCAACTTGGTGCCCTAACCGTAGACTATTGCTTTCTTCTGCTCACTGATACTTCAAACTGCTTGTTTCCTTCATAAATTTGCCTACAATGAATACTCATACGTTTTTCATAAGATTCAAGCCAGGGCTGTTAGCCAGCCAGGGCAAAAAGTCGATTTGGTGCCGACTAAACCTGGGTCATGCATGAATACGAACTTCTGCTACCGATTCTGACACTGAAAAGGAAGAAGAACACTTCGCATTACGACCCGATACGCGGAAGAACTGAGTTTTTTCGGAGCAAACTTTGAATGAAGACGTTAACGAGAAGAAGCTGCCGGCTAACCCACGACTCCTCCTCCCTTGAAATTTCGTCTGGAAAAGTGAAGCTTATCCTTTCTCAGATCGTGCTAATAGAATCGATTTCTTTCTGGGTATCACAGTTACAATTCTTTCATTGAAAAAAAAAAACCTGGAGAACGAAACATCAAGAGAAAAAGAGTAAAAGACAAGCTATGAAATGGCACCTTACTCCAGTCGGTTCGGATGCAATTCCTGGCAAAAACAAACCCTGTCATCGCGATGCT